GTAATCAACGCAGGACTCTCATCCTTCCCTTCAGACCCACACATGAGTCAGCCTACTGAACTTCCCTGTCCTTGTTCGTTTCTGCTCTGATAGTCATACCAGCCTGATCTGCCCACTTGTCAGATTCTGGCACGAGTGACTCTGAATCTTCTTTCATGATGAAGTCATGATGAAGCCTGGAATTTCCCCTAAGCTTAATTGAAAATCTAATCCCCCTTGCAACATCCCTATACATACTTCACCTGCCCTGTTTATACAAAAGGGCTAGACTGATTTTAGACTGTTATGGGGAATCTGAATAACCGCAAAGCAGCCTTTCTTCTGTGAAAGTTTGTTTTGTGCTTATATTATGAAGGTTATGGTGTGTCTCATATTACCCCAGTTTAAGAATAGAAGAATTCCAGGGGTGGGAACCGCCAATGCTTCAGGTTCTGTTGAACTACAATTCCCATCATCCCTGACCATTGGCCTTGTTGTTGGGGGGCAGACAGGAGCTAGAGTCAAACATCTGGAGAGCCACAGGGCTGGATTCAGCTAACCCAGTAAGCTAGTAGAAGCCAGTGCAAGGACTCCCACAAGGACAACAGCCATCCTGCTCCCCTCCCTCATACCTACCCCAAAATGTGCTCTGGAGGATTCAGATAGCAGAGGGGAAAAATTTCTGTCTGGAAAGTGTGCTGATGGAATGATTGAATTTGCATCCCTCACAGAGTCCCTGTTCCTGAATTAGACCAAGACCTATCTAGTCATAGGGAGGTAGGAAACTGACTTATAGCAAATCAGGCCATGGGACTGGAGCTGAGGGTAAAGCAGGGGTTATTTCAGTTTCTCCAGCTGCTTTCCCCGTCTTCCAGTGATTCCTCTCCCTTTGTATCATCTGATCTCATGCAACTGTAAAACTTATATGTGTGCATGAGAGGAAGTCCACATCTTCTATTGTTCATTTTAAAGAACAGACGCTGTTCCCACGCTAGAGCCCACTGACTCTTCCATTCACATCATTTTTTAAAACACCATTACGGAGATGTCAAAGATACTCTAGTTTGAATTATGTTGTTGCTTTCTTGTATCTGCTGGGATTTTTTTTTTAAGGAGAGATCACCCAAATGCTAATTCGGACTCAGAAGCTGATCATAAAAGCTTTCTGGGTGGGTCAGCTGACTGCCAACACTGCCCACTCTTCAAGCAAGAACAGCGAAACAAAGGCATTAAGGAAGGAGGAGAAGGAGGTGGCAGTTGGGGGAGGAGAAGGAGGAAGTAGGGTGGTTCACCTGCCTCATATTATCCAAGCTCTTGTGCTGATCCTGATTTGAATAGATCCCTTGCAGGAGACATAAACATTGCCACTGTAATGTGTATACTTTAAGAGAAACCATTTTACAGTAAACCAGAGTGAGAACAGTATCAGTGGAGGCCCCTAAAATATGGACTACTGGAAAAATGTAGAGCTGGACTGAAATAGAAGGAGCTGCTCTTACTGTTATGTCAAGGAACTGAGCTTTGGGCTTGATTTCCTGTTCTCAGGACAGCAGGGACTGGGAGTTCTGTTTAGCAGGAAGCATCTTGCGTTGCTCATTAGTACAAGGAGAAGCTTTAAAGGCCACTGGCTGGCCTTTGTGGTTCATTCATGTTTAGGCATCGGAGCACTGAAGTACGTGTCACAGTGATTAGACAAGGCAGGCAAAGCAAATGCCGTTATTCCAGTTCTGCTGATTGGTTGCTGACAAAAGAAAAGCAGTGTGGACTTTCAGTGAATTGGTGTGGCGTAATTCTAAGGAACTGGAAGTAGATTCTAAAGAGGAGCGCTCAAACCCCACAAAGGGGTCTTTGCTTCCTATGTGGCAAAATTGCCACGGAAAATTGCTTCCACAAAATGGGGCTCACTCAAGGGCTGCGGCATTGTAAATGGCTTCTTGTTTGCTTCTGAGGTGATAGCTGATGTGGTCCTGTTCCACGTAATCAGGTGGCCTTCTACATGGATCTTCTCATCAACAATCACAGACCCTCCAAGTGTCCTTATTTCCCAGTGACAGTCTCTGATTTACAAAGGCTGTCTTGGTTTCTGATTTCATCAGGAATGTCCCGCTTTTCCTAAGGACGTCCCTATTTTGATCAGAGAAATGTTGGCGGGTATGTCATTCATTTTCAATCCATGGCGAATTCCCACCATTTTTCTTTAGCACTGCATTCCTGCTCTTTGGAAGAGGACTTTTAACAAGTCCGTTTGCCTTCCTCGGGTGTGCGGTTTGCGGGTGGGCCCCAGGTCCTTCCTGTGAACTGACATCTAGCAGGCTGGATCATCTTCCTGCTACCAAAGTGGCCAGTGGCGGCAGGAATTTAGAGGGAGTTCCACTGGATGCAGTGCCAACTGGCCAGTAGCAGCGCTTGGCACCACGCCCAGGTGAAACTTAAATACCCGGCCTGTGGGGCCATTTGGCCTCCTGCTCATTGTGCCGGTTGTGTACAATGTTCCATTGTTCTTACATGTTAAAGAATTAAAAGTGAATGTGTTGAAACAACACTGAAAAGCCCACCCCTTGAAACCCCTCCCCATTGATTGTGTGGTTTCAGCCATTAAAATTATTAACATGTATGCCTAGAGTCTCAGTACAGGTGTGGTGAGTAAAGAGAACTTTTTCTGGCTTAAGGAAAAAACATTTTAAGATGTCAATTGTGTCAGCTTTGTTTTATGATACGTACTTTTAACTTCTAGGAAGCCAGGGTAGGAAAAGAAACACAAAGAAAGTAAACGGATAAGCTTTTATTGGCTGAACATACTTGACAAGGCCAACATGAAAACTTCAAACCCCAGGAGGGGGACATAAAAACAGCAGATTATTCTGCAAAGGTCATGAACAGTTGTGAGATTGTGACAATGTTCACCTTCTGCAGAGCTGAGGGAAATGGCATCAAGGCTCCATTCCACACCACTCTTCTAAGCAATCTTCTTAGCTATGAGTAGAATTTGCCATCCAAAGATTGTGTATATTTGTGTGCATTATCCTTCTAAAAAAATGACACAACAGCGTAAAGGCCACACATACCTACTATGCTGTGCACATGAGGCATAAGAAAAACCACTTGTTTGATCTGTAATCTGATAGACAGATCAGTCTGCTTCTGGTCTGTGTCAATTATTTGTATGTGTCCATTCATAAATCTGTCCTATTTCTGCATCAATCTGCAATTTTTTAAAAAAAGAAGTCTGCTTGAAAATTTCTATTTGGACACCCACTTTATTAAAAATTGAGTTTAGAAATGTGTTTTATCTCAACATACGCATTTATAAACATATCTTATCCTAAAACACACATTTTAATGCCTGTTGGTAGTTTTTTTGAGGTGAGACCTATATCATAATATTCAGAGAAGTGCAGAATTCAAAGGATAATTATGTTCCAGTTTGCACATCAGTTCAGGAGGTACAGATCAAGCCCGCCTGCCTTGGCCATCATAGAAATCAAGCTCCTCAGTCATCCCTACTTGCACATGACCATTTGTAATTGCAGCTAGACCTCTTTTACTCAGATTTTGAATGTTTGAGGAGAGGAGGATTTCTCCTAAGAAGTCTCTATTTGCAACATTTATGCCACTGAAGAAGACTGCATGGTTGAAACTTGGCTGGCAATTGGAATTACTATTTGTCATACAATTTGGAAGGCTATCATCCCAAAGTGGAAGATTTAGTGTTCACTAGAAATCCAGGGACTGTCAGATATACACACATTAAGTTATTTGGCAGCCCATAACTTATTCTTGGAATCGTGAGAATCTCAGCTCTCATTTTTAAAAACATCCATTTTGTTTAAGCATTTGATTTGTTTTGAGTATTTTATGATTTTATATATTGTAAGCCACTTAAACTCAAAGTGGCTTACAATATATAAAATCCTAAAATACTTAAAACACATCGAGAAAAGTGGGGCATAACTTTCAAAATCAATGAATATTTAAGTGTCATAAGATTAGATGCCATCAAATCACTAGATGCTGTTTGTTCATTTATCTAGCTTGTATCCTGCCCTTCCTCCAAAAAGTTAATAGAGATCATAGAATTGTAGAGTTGGAAGTTATCCCATTACATCTTCCCAAGAACCATGTAATAAAATCAAAGCTAAGAAACCCCAGAGTCACTCACTGAATGTCATGGCCAGGTAAGCAATTGAACCTAGGTCTCTCTTTCATGGAATAAATTTTCAAAACATCTCACAAAGTATGTTAAAGTGAAAGGTTGCTTTTATAATCCTGGAGAATCCAAATGTTGTGTAGAGTCTTAGGGCAGAATCCTATTTTCTTGTATGGGAGGGGTTTGCATACAAGCTCTTCCACACGTACAGGTATGACATCACTGTGTGGGGGCCTTGGGTGCTGAATTCCATGATGAGTGGAATGCAGGGCTTCAGGTGTGAAAATAACTGGGGCATCCCTCCACATGACATGAGTCTCTGCACCTTGCCTGGTATGGTGAGGCAACCAAATCGTAACCTCGTCACTTCCTTCAGTATCATACTGACTTGGCCTCCATTTATGGGAAGGTTTGCCACAGGTACTAAGACAGCATATTCAGTATATGCTGCACAGTAACAACAACAACAACAACAACAACAATACTATTAATTTATTATTTATTTATACCCCGCCCATCTGGCTGGGTTTTCCCAGCCAACCTGGGAGGCTCCCAATAGAATATTAAAAACACGATAAAACATCGAACATTAAAAACTTCCCTAAACAGGGCTGCCTTCAGATGTTTTCTAAAAGTCAGGTAGCTGTTTACTTCCTTGATATCTGATGGGGGGGGGCGTTCCACAGGGTGGGCGCCACTACCAAAAAGGTCCTCTGCCTGGTTCCCTGTAACCTCACTTCTCACAGTGAGGGAACCGCCAGAAGGCCCTCGACGCTGGACCTCAGTGTCCGGGCTGAACAATGGGAGTGGAGACACTCCTTCAGGTATACTGGGCCGAGGCCGTTTAGGGCTCTAAAGGTCAGCACCAACACTTTGAATTGTGCCCGGAAACCATTGTAGCCAATGAAGTTAATCCGAGGTACGATGATTGCTAACTGAAAACCACTCGAAAACATTGTTGCTGAGCAGCATATTGCTGCAGAATGGGGATGCGACAGTAGTATATCTGTCTCTTAACTTAGCTGTGGAAAAGTTGCTGTTTTACAGCCTCAGCTGTCTGGTTTCAGGGGAGCTGCCGTGATGCAAAGGGATTTTGCACATCTGTCAACTACAGCAGCATTCCAAATGCAAAATCAGTGCTTGGAGACATTGTTGGGATTTCTGACACTCCCTCTGGGACTCTTGATCCATAAACCAATGAATGGATTACAATGACACATAAATACAGTTTTTTCATGGATGACATGTAATCCTGCTTTATTATCACTCCTGTCATGTAAGTGAAAGCTGGTAAGCATTTTTTTCTGACCCACGCAGTGGCACTAGAGGGTATCTTTTTTGTTTGTTTTTTAAATAAACATTTTCTAAGAATACAAAAATTAAAATGTGGAATATTCGCTCCAGAATTGCACTCAAGTACATAATTCATATTCCTGTTGGGTTGGATCTTGACTTAGTTATGGTTACAGTAGATCCATGGAAACCAGTAGGACTCATGACTAACGTAAGTCACATTGATTTTAGTGGGTCTACTCTATGCAATTTTGGATCAGAACCTGGGCTTGCTATTGCATGTTTTGATGATGCTCAAAGGCAGCATCTTGAAATCAACAAAAGAGAAAAAATTAACAGTTTTCTTTACCTAATAAAAACTTAGAACGCTGAGCATTGTCTTCACCAGTTTCATAGAAGTGTGTCTTCAGATTTCTCCAGTTATTTATTTCTCGTGCTTTGAAAGAGTATGGCATGGAATATATGTTTCTGTTCTCAAACAGAATATCTCTCTGACGAAATTTTCAGGTCAGATACCCTTTGCCCCTCCTTCCACAGGGCAGCATCTGCCCATCAGTCTCCTTGCCATGGATGACTGGATGCATCTGACGCCAGACCCTCCAGGCAGCCTGTTCTTTGGGCTCACAGCAGGAGGCCAACGGCTTGTTACCTTTGTTTGTTTCTATCTGGATCTTTAAAAAGTGGGCGAACAAAGGCGGCAGTCATAAAAGGAGAGCTAAAGAGCATCCTCTGCAGCCCTTTCACTGAAGCAGATAAAACCAATTAAAAGGTTGTCTCCACAGGTGTACAACTCTGCCCACAAAACTATTTTGGTAGTATTGCTTACTGGTGTTCTGGCAAGTTGAAAATACGCCTGGAAACTGAATGTGTTTGATGAACCAAAAAAAGAGTCATGGTGGGTTTTTCAACCTAAGATTTGGAAGTATCCATCATAAATTAGTGGCGGAAGGTATGTGGCTCTGGTTGGTTAGGCTGCTTAGCAGGGTACGTATCACCATTTGTAAACATGGATACAATTCTCCCTAGGATCAAGGCCAGGGGAGAGCTGATGGTGTATGATTGGCTGTGATGGGCTGGGACTTGGGCTCAGACTCAGAACCAGAGGAATCTCAGTCCGTGCTGGATCTTTCGCCTCAGGCAGTGTCTGAACCAAGTCTGAGGCCTGATTCTGCACAGGTTCTCCTGCAACAAGCACCAGCTGGGCCTGAGCCTGCCCTGGCTCCAGATATGGGGATTACCTCATTGCCTTCAGCTGGGCAATCACTGACAGCTGCTCCACTGCCAGTTGGGTCAGGAGAGGCTGAGGCAGCCGACATCTCTCGAGCTGCAGAGACTAAGGTCTGAGAGAAGGAGAGACCTGAGTACTCGCAGGAGGAGTGCTTGCCTTCGGGCAAGACAGGGAGATGAGTCACTGGGGGATCAGGACTGGCCGTTACCCCGACAAAGAGAAAAGGCTGACGGACCCTGCCCCAGGTTGCAGGAGCAACATTGCTGTTTGCCAGAACCTGCCTGAGATCCTGTGCCTGACCTTGCTTGGTTTCCTGCCTTGGCCCTGCTGGACTGACTGCTTGTGGACCCCTTGGATTCGGAACTGGACCTGGACTGCGTGGCTTGGGCTACCCCTGGGCCCAGCACATTGACTAGAATAGCAGTGATGTCACCAACCCGCTACTACTGGATTGCCTTCTCAATGTGACTCCACTTTTTAAAGGAAGTGCGGGCAAAAGGAACTGAGGGTCACCATGATAGCACTGTTCAAATACCGCAAGGGGTTCACATAAAATAGGGCAAATGCTTGATTTCTTCTGCAACACAGGGCAGGACTGTATCTAATGGGCTTCAATTACAGGAGACTAGAGTTTGGATGAACATTAAGAGAGGCCTCTAATTGCTATTGATGGTAAGAGCACTTAGACAATGGGACCGATTATCTAGAGGGGTGGTGGCTTCCTCTCTGCCAGAGGTCTTCAAGCAGATACTAAACAGCTGTATGTTGGGGATGTTTCATCTGTTTCTGCTTGAAGGAAGAGCTAAGACAGACACCCTGCCTATTGTGTGGTATAGGTGAGGGAGGCCAGGCTCACAGTGAGGGTCTGTAGCATGGTGCCTTCAAAGTGTTTTGGACTACATCCAGCATGGCCAATGGACAGGAGTGATGGGAATTGCAGTCTATATCACTTGGAGGGCACCATGTTGACTGTCTTTGGTCTGTAGGGATGAAGCAAATCTTTCAGATATCTGGGGCCTAAGTCATTTAGGACTTTGAACACTAATTGGGCCTGGAAACAAACTGGCAATCCAAAATGCACTGCTGTTACCCTAAAACGTTTTGCACGAGACACAATCTGAGCTAAATCCTCAAAGCACCTTCTCTATTTTGTTTTAAGAGCATTACAAACCACAGTCTAGGCTTTTCCATCATAGAATCATAGAATCATAGAATCATAGAGTTGGAAGAGACCACAAGGGCCATCGAGTCCAACCCCCTGCCAAGCAGGAAACACTATCAGAGCACTCCTGTCATATGGTTGTCAAGCCTCTGCTTAAAGACCTCCAAAGAAGGAGACTCCACCACACTCCTTGGCAGCAAATTCCACTGTCGAACAGCTCTTACTGTCAGGAAGTTCTTCCTAATGTTTAGGTGGAATCTTCTTTCTTGTAGTTTGGATCCATTGCTCCGTGTCCGCTTCTCTGGAGCAGCAGAAAACAACCTTTCTCCCTCCTCTATGTGACATCCTTTTATATATTTGAACATGGCTATCATATCACCCCTTAACCTCCTCTTCTCCAGGCTAAACATGCCCAGCTCCCTTAGCCGTTCCTCATAAGGCATCGTTTCCAGGCCTTTGACCATTTTGGTTGCCCTTCTCTGGACACGTTCCAGTTTGTCAGTGTCCTTCTTGAACTGTGGTGCCCAGAACTGGACACAGTACTCCAGGTGAGGTCTGACCAGAGCAGAATACAGTGGCACTATTACTTCCCTTGATCTAGATGCTATACTCCTATTGATGCAGCCCAGAATTGCATTGGCTTTTTAGCTGCTGCGTCACACTGTTGGCTCATGTCAAGTTTGTGGTCAACCAAGACTCCTAGATCCTTTTCACATGTACTGCTCTCAAGCCAGGTGTCACCCATCTTGTATTTGTGCCTCTCATTTTGTTTGCCCAAGTGCAATACTTTACATTTCTCCCTGTTAAAATTCATCTTGTTTGTTTTGGCCCAGTTCTCTAATCTGTCAAGGTCGTTTTGAAGTGTGATCCTGTCCATCTGGGGTGTTAGCCACCCCTCCCAGTTTGGTGTCATCTGCAAATTTGACCAGGATGCCCTTGAGTCCATCATCCAAGTCGTTGATAAAGATGTTGAATAAGACCGGGCCCAAGACAGAACCCTGTGGCACCCCACTAGTCACTCTTCTCCAGGATGAAGAGGAACCATTGATGAGCACCCTTTGGGTTCGGTCAGTCAGCCAGTTACAAATCCACTGAGTGGTAGCATAGTCAAGACTGCATTTTACCAGCTTCTTTACAAGAATATCATGGGGCACCTTGTCAAATGCCTTGCTGAAATCAAGGTAGGCTACATCCATTGCGTTCCCTTCATCTACCAGGCTTGTAATTCTGTCAAAAACGAGATCAGGTTAGTCTGACATGACTTATTTTTCAGAAATCCATGCTGACTATTGGTGATCACAGCATTCCTTTCTAGGTGCTCACAGACTGTTTGCTTAATGATCTGCTCCAGAATCTTCCCTGGTATTGATGTCAGACTGACTGGGCAGTAATTATTTGGGTCCTCTCTTTCCCCCTTTTTGAAAATAGGGACAACATTTGCCCTCCTCCAGTCTCCCGGGACTTCGCCTGTTCTCCAGGAATTCTCAAAGATGACTCCTAGTGGTTCTGAGATCACATCTGCCAGTTCTTTTAATACTCTTGGATGCAGTTCATCTGGCCCTGGAGACTTGAATACATCTAAACTAGCCAAGTATTCTTGTACTATCTCCTTAGTTATTCTGGGCTGTGTTTCCTTTGCTGAATCATTTGCTCCAAATTCTTCAGGTCGGGCATTGTTTTCTTTATCCGAGAAGACTGAGGCAAAGAAGGCATTGAGGAGTTCAGCCCTTTCTGTGTCCCCTGTTTGCATTTCACCATCTTCTCCTCTGAGTGACCCCACTGTTTCTTTGTTCTTCCTTTTGCTACGGACATACCCATAAAAGCCTTTTTTGTTGCTTTTAACCTCTCTAGCAAGCCTGAGTTCATTCTGTTCTTTAGCTTTTCTGACTTTGTGTCTACACGTGCTGGCTATTTGTTTGAATTCCTCTTTGGTGGTTTCCCCCTTTTCCATTTTTGTACACATCCTTTTTAATCTTAACTCAGTTAAAAGTTCTTTAGATAGCCACCCTGGCGTCCTTAGGCACCTTCCATGTTTCCGTCTCATTGGTATTGCCTGCCGTTGGGCTGGTACTATCTCCCTCTTAACAAACTCCCAGCCATCATGAACTCCCTTTCCTTTTAGTATTACTGTCCATGGGATCTCACCCAGCACTTCCCTAAGTTTTATGAAGTCGGCTTTCTTAAAGTCAAGAAATTGAGTCCTAGTATGCTTGGCTGCTCCTTTCCGCTGTATAGTAAACTTCAGAAGAGCATGATCACTCGCGCCTAATGATC